AATACCAGGCCATTTCAGCTTACTAATGCCTAGGATATAGATCTGTATGCATTCCATTTCATTTTTGACAACTTTTAATTTTCCTAAATTTGTACTTCATACATTTCATGTTCTGGTTATGAATGGACACTTGCAGCTGTTTCTTCTCAATTTGAGTTGTGCCCTACCGGCAAATGAAGGTCTTGAAAGTTTTGCTCCACTCATGTCATAGCCAACTCTACTGTGAGGAGGCAGTTCACCCCAGTCACATGTGAGTGCCTTCCAACCCGAGGGGTTCAACATTGGACACTATATCAATGTTCCACAGCTACTCATAACGTATTTAGTGGATAACCATTCAGAAGTGGTTTGCCTCTCCTTCTTCCTAGTTCATCTTAGTCTGGAAGTTCCACTGAAGCCTGTTCACCATGAGTGACCCAGCTATTAAAAATAGTGGTAGCATAGCTTCCAGCATCACAGCATCATGAAAGCCATCACAACATGACAAACTGACAGATGAATGATGAGTTCTTTTATAGATCTGTCTATTGTTTGTCTGAAAATTGAACTATGGAGGTGAGAGTTCATTTCCAGAACTGACGGGTGACTAAAGGTCATAGTCTAGGGGGTTCCACCAATCTCTATCTAGCCAGTAAGCCTGGTTATTTTCATGATTTTGAGTTTTATTCCATATGTTTCTACCACTCTACCCAGACCCTTCTAATGTAATCCCTTTCAGAGCAGTTGGTAGTGGTAACGAGGCACCATCTAGTTCTGGTTCTAGGAAGATTAGCTATTCACTTTGTCCATTAATTCACTGAACTCATTGTTTCTTCACTCTTCTTTCCTCAGGACAATAAACCAATAGTTGTACTCTAACTTTTAAGACCTCAGTCACAACTTACCAAAGTCTGATGTAGAACATTGTCTTTGTGGACTATGATATGCCAATTGGCCATGGTGTCACGCAAGATCATGGTTCGGAGCTCCCAGGACCAGCGACTCATTCCCTCAAGGTGTTTGCTTATGTCTAATAAGTTTTCATATATTTGTCCCTGTATTCTCCAGCACCTTTATAAATATTTTTGTAGCATAAGTAAACACACACGTAGAGAAATACCTTCTGCCAACCCTATATATATATTTGTGGCTATACTCCCACTTTCCCTCCCACATCTGTTTAGCCTATGTGTCTATTCAAGCATATATACTAGTTGCTGTTGTTGTTAAGTGCCATCTAGTCAGGTTCAACTCATAGCAACCCTGTACAGGATTTTCAAGGAACAGCTGGTAAGTTTGAAGCACTGACCTTATAGTTCAAACCAACCTTGTGGTCCAGTGCTTACCATACAGCTCCACACCAGGACTCCATTGTTGTTGTTGTTGTTAAGTGCCATCGAGTCAGTTTTGACCCATAGTGACCCTTTACAGGGCTTCCGAGGAGTGACTGATGACCTTGAATTGCCGACCTTGTGGTTTAAACTGGCTTTGCAGTCCAGCACATTAACCTACAGCACCACACCAGGACTCCATTGTTGTTGTTGTTAAGTGCCGTCAAGTCGGTTCCAACCCATAGCAACTCTACGTAGGGTTTCCAACGAGCAGCTGGTGAGCTTGAACCACCGACCTTGCAGTTCAAACGGCTTTGCAGTTTGGTGCATTAACCCACAGCGCCATACCAGGACTCCATTGTTGTTGTTGTTAAGTGCCGTCGAGTCAGTTCTGACCCATAGCGACCCTGTACAGGGTTTCCGAGGGTGTAAATCCTTACGGGAGTAGAAAGCCTCATCTTTCTCCCGCGGAGCGGCTGGAAGTTTCGAACCGCTGACCTTAAGGTTCACAGCCCGATTCGTAACCACTACGCTACCAGAGCTCCTCCATTAGATCACCATTATTATATAGAGGTATATAACAGTAATTTACCTCTGTTGCCTATAACTCACTGTCTTTCCCTACCTTCATCATTATTTGCTGGACTCCTTCTTATTGCTTATTATCTTCCCCTTCAACCAAATCAACATACTAATGTTTTTAAAGAAGCTCACGAGGACTTTCATTGAGTGGGCTTGAACCTCTACCCTTTCAGTTAGCAGTTATATGAGTCCCTGGGTGGTACAAACAGTTAACAGGTTCAGCTATTAATGGAAAGGTTGGCTTTTGAGTCCACCCAGCAGCATGTCAGAAGAAAGGCCTAGCAATGTACTTCCAAAAGATCAGTCACTGAAAACCCAATGGAGCACACTTCTCCTCTGACACACACGGAGCTGTCATGAGACAGAATCAACTTGACAGCACCCTCTAAAAGAAAGTCAGCCATATCTCAGAGCAAATAAATCAAGACAAAATAAGAGTCGTGGACCACTGCTGCTTCAGAAACATAGGCCTTATCATAAAGACATTACACACAGCAGACAGGATTTCAAACCCTAGTGCAGACTGAAAATCACAAGGGCAAACATTCCAAATTGCAGACATCGATTTGTAATCTAGTTCTTCTGAAACTGCTTGGTTTGTGGACAGTTCTACGTAACACGCTTATGGGTGAATGGCAACCAGGGTGCTTTTGGTTTTTTAAAAATAATGTTTAATGACTTTCCCTAGGGTCAGCTAGTAAGACAGTGTTTATGGAAATACTTCATAAACCGTTGTTGTTAAGTGCTTTTGAGTCTGTTCCGATTCATAACAACTCTTTATAGGCTCTCCAAGGCTTATAACATGTGATGCTGCATCATCATTATATTTTGAACATCTAGTGTATTCACTAGGGAGCTCTGGTAATGTAGTGGTTACAAATTGGGCTGCTAACCTTAAGGTCAGCAGTTCAAAACTACCAGCTGTTCTGCAGAAGAAAGAGGAGGCTTTCAGCTCCTATAAAGATTTACAGCCTTGGAAACCCTGTACAGAGTCACTATGAGCCAGAACTGACTCCATGGCATATAACCACCACCACTGTATTCAGTATGTGCTAGCTGCTGAAGCAATGTGTTAGGCATTATTTCTTGTTGTTGTTGTTAAGTGCTGTTGAGTCAATTCCAACCCATAGTGACACCCATATAGGGTTTCCAAGGAGCAACTGGTGAGCTTGAACCACCGACCTTGCAGTTCAAATGACTTTGCAGTCTGACGCATTAGTCCTTAGACACCATATAAATGAATTAAAAAAAAAAAAATCCTGTACAACAAAATCTTGATCTTGCAAAGATTTCTTTACCTGGCTCTAGGTATATGAAAAATGGTAGTACACTAAAACTGTATGGATTTATGCTTCACATATTACTGTTGTTGGTAAGTGCCACTGAATCAGTTCTGACTCACAGTGACCCTGTGTAGGGTTTCCAAGGAATGGCTGATGGTTTTGAACCACCACCTTAGATTCAAATCGACCTAGTGGTCTAGTGCATTATCCTGCAGTGCTACACCAGGACTCCGTTGCTGTTGTTAGGTGGAGTCAAGTTGGTTCCAACTCATAGGTACCCTATGCACAGCAGAATGAAATACTGCCCGGTCCTGCGCCATCCTCACAATGGTTGCTACGCTTAAGCCTCTTGCTGCTGACACTGTGCCAATCCATCTCGTTGGGGCTCTTCCTCTTTTTTGCTGGCCCAAAGAGAACATAGATAAATAGCAGCAGGGTTTTAGATATTACTAAAGAGCCAGAAGAACAAACAAATCAGTATAGCCAGAACACACCTAAGAAGAAGGATAACAAGACTTCATCTCTCATTCTTTGGACATGTTATCAGAAAGGACCAGTTCTGGAGAAGGACATCATGCTTGGAAAAGTGGAAGGTCAGTGAAAAAGAGGAAGACCCCCAACAAGATGGATGGCCACAGTGGCAGAAACAACGGGCTTAAGTGTAACAGTAATTATGAGGCTGTGTCAGGCCCCAGCAGTGCTTTGTTCTGTTGTACATGGAATCGTTAGGAGTCAGAACCTACTTGACAGCCCCTAACAACAACAACAAAGAGCATCCATCTAGCCTATAGGCTGCTGAGCTGGTGGCTACACAGCCAAATAGAAAGTGAGGTTAGGTGATCAGAGCTTTATTTCTGGGCAAGTTGAAGTAGATACTCTCTAGAAATGGAGTAATAACTATACAACCTTGAAGGGACTTCCTTCTCTCAAATTTTTAGTTGAGTTTTAACTACTACCAATGGGCAAATTGATAAGAATATACTAAAGAACCTTCCAAGAAACTAGACAATGCGTCTTTCTTTTAAAATGAGGCTCAAATACAAATGAATATTGGGACACTAGTCTATACCCATGAAAATAGTCAAACCATCATTTCACTAGTTTCCATGTGCTCTGATGATCTATATCATACATGGATACTAGAACCAGGCTTCCTGGGTTCAAATCCGGACTCTACCACTAGATAAGTAACCTTAGGTATTTACTTAGTTTATCTGTATCTATCTATCCTCATCCCTCATTTCCTCATCACAGTGGAAAACTTCATCATCACAAGGAAAATTTGAGTGTAAAGTTACTAGAACAGTGACTGGTTTGTTATTGTTAAGTGCTGTCGAGTCCATTCCAACCCATAGTGACCCTATACAGGGTTTCTGAGGAGCAGCTGGTGAGACCTTGCAGTTCAAACGGCTTTGCAGTCTGGCACATTAACCCACAGCGCCACACCAGGAGCGCTGTGGTATATGTTGACACCATTTTTATGTTCATGGTTCTCTCCTGATTACCAGGCCCAGTTACTAGAAGTACCTATGAAAAGGGATGACATTAAAATTGTCTCTCATATTCTCTTTAGGTTTCAGAGTTTTGCCTTAACATTTCATTTTCTTTTATTTCACTTTTTAAAGCTCAAGCTAGAAGTTCTACCTTCTTCTGCCAGGAGCCAATGAAAACTATCTACTCCTTGACAAAGGGTTTCATGATAAAGTGGAAACAGATGTTTCACACCTCGAGCGCCACAAAACTTCTTACCAGTAATGCTCACAACCTCCCACCGTGGTTACCTGCTTTTCCAACCACTTGCCACCCCATGCACAACCATGCCAACCTTCTATGAAGTCCGAGGCCGTGTAAGGACGCTGAATTGGGCTGCTCTCTGCAGGGTTGTTCAGAGTCTCCAAGGCGGATTCAATCGCTTCTACCAACTCATCACGCTTGTCTTTCCTCACGGGTTTCTCCTCGGGGTGGCGGGTCAGACCCGTCTCCAGCTGGTACACTTTCTGCAGGGTGAAGCTATCGAAAGGCACTGCTGCATACTCAGTGGCCAACTTGACACCAGTGTGCACCTCAGCCTTGTCCACCTGTGCATGTAGGAAGGCCTGGAGGTCTGCCTGGGTTTTCTCCGGGGCACCCCGGTCCAGCCCCAGGCCCGTGGCGTCACTGGCGTGGTACTGCACACTCTTGAGCTGCTCACTTCGCTCCTGCAGCTCATCCTTGAGCTGTGCGATCTGCTTCTTCAGGCTGTTGATATAGTTCCGGTGCTGCTCCTCCCACTCCTGTAGGACTGCCTGGTACCCCTCTTTCCCAGTTGGGCCATTGGCCCGGGGCAGCCCCAGCTTCTCCTCGTCGCCTTTCGGGGTACAGGCCAACATGTAGAGGACAGAGATGGCACAGCAGAGGAGCACAAGCAAAATCACCACCCGAGAAATCCAGGCCAGCAACCCACGACGAACCATCATCATTCAGGAATCAACCATGCGTCCAGACCTGGTGACATCCCAGAATGCCAGGGCCCCACGCAAGGGCTTCCCAGAACTAGACAACAGCAGACATGCGTTTGGGGGGCCCTGAGCTCCTTCCATCCATTTGCTTTTACAGCGTGCCCTGTGCCTTGGAGCCAACAGCCACACCACTGAGCAGTTTTCCTCTTTCTAAAGGACGGTTTTCCAGGTTGAGGCAATGAGTTGTCACATTAATTCCCATCACAGTCTTCCCGATGTTCAGCAAACAAGAGGAGACCTGAGAAGAGACACAAATAACAAAAACATTTACTCAAGATCACACACCTAAGCTCACAGCAATGTTCAATAGTCCTCCCATGAGATTTATGGATTTATGATTAAATATTTTTAAATGCTTGCAAATCAGAATGCAAATGTGCATTACCAATCTAATGTAATACAGAATAAAGGACACAGTAAAAAGATCCAAAGGAAATTGTCAGTTGCGTTCTATAAAGTCTATTTAACCCTGAATTGGGGGACACCCAATCAGCTGTTTTTTACCTCAACTGGGACACGCACACACACACAATCACACATACACACACACGCCCTGTCAGGTTTGGGCATGTATATGCCTGTGAATGACCACAGAAGTGCCTCCTGTATTGTATTTGTGCTGAATATGGAGCTCACAACTAATGAGGTCCTCTAAGTGCCAAAACATTAACAATACTTCTCTCTGGATGGAAGGGCTAAGGGTGTTTTTTCTGCTTTCTCTATACTTCCCCATATCTTATAAATTCTTCACAATGAACATATATTATTTTGATGATTAAAAAGAGGGAAAAAAAATTGAATAGCATTCAAGTTTCAGGCACTGGTCACCAAAGGCACCTCTCAGGCCAGGGTTGGCCAGAGGGGCAGATGGAGTATGAGGCACAATAAGGTGAGCTCCTGAGGAAAGCATGCACCCCATACAGGGCGGAAACTAGGAACTGGTTCAAGGTTGTTTTCAACGTTCAGATGACAAGATGAGGAAGCACCTGGAGGTTCAAATATATAAAAACCACAAAAGTAAATGTGGATGATAACTTATTCAACAGGTGAGAACTTCTGACCAACCAACTCTCCAATTCTTCAGGCAGACAAAGGACTGTGTGTTTGCCATGGAAAGTGAGGGGGTTGGGAGTGGAACAGAGACCAGAAATACAAGGGGGCTTCAAAAATTGGAATGAAAAAATAATGACATTTTTCCTCAACCTTTTTGAAGCCCCCTTGTACTGTCTGTCCCCTCAGGATTCAAATCCCCAGGAATATTTCTGCCCCAACCTCTGAAAGTTCTGATTGCTCATCAGCAATACCGAGACAGGTCTCAGGACTTTTTGCTCAAACACATGTTCTATATCTCCCTTCCAAACCACTCGTACAAAAGGAGCCAACTCAACACACCTTCTCCTGTTCTTCCACTCCCTCCTCTCACCCATCACAAACATCCTAGTAGCACATTGTTTTCAATTTCCTCCCTTTTTAATCTTCTTCCCTCACCTTCCCCTACTAAGCTTAGCAATACATACCTATATACTTACCAGACGAAATTTTATGTTTAGAGACTTCTTCTGAAACTTTCCTATATGTATCTTTCAATGCCACTTCTTTTAAAAGACAAGCTCCTAAGGCAAGAAGCTTACAAGCTTTCGAGAGGGAGTCTAGTTCCAGAGGGTAGAAGGTAGAATCTCCACTGAGTGGTTTCCAACCTGTCTAGACGGGGCTGATGAAAGGAGATGGGGATATGACTCCTGTGGTTCAATAGTTAATAATCACTATAAGGACTGACTGTGAGGGTTGGAAATGTAAAGGTAGACGTTTCATAACAAAAGGAGGGGAGTGGTTGATTTTGCAGTCTAGGAGTAGAGGTCCCTGGGACCATCAAGGGAGAAGAGCAGAGTATGGGACCCTATTCAGAGAAGCAGTGAAACCAGAGATGGAGGCAGAGACAATGACGTAGATAGATGGAGTGGCTGGGAACTCTGGACTCAGGGAGGGAGTCTGTATGCTCATGGACGGGGAGCAGGCTTGCGGGGTATATCCTTTAGTTGTTTGATGTATGGAGGGGATTGTAATCATTGCAAAGAAATGCAATATGATAGGATGAATGTAAAGCTAATGTTCTCCCATGTAAACTATCACTTAATTCACAATAAAAACTTAAAAAAACAAGCTTCTTGAGAATACTGCATCTTGGTCATTTTAGAAAAATTTGACATTTTTAATAATCCCAACAATAAGTAGCTCCCCGGACTTCAGTGGAGTCAGGAACTCCAGAATCTAGGCCAGAAATCATTTCATCTACCAATGAATGGTCTCTCCCATGGCCTCACCATGGTGGTCCTTACTGGAAGAAAGATCCTAGTTAGTCCATTACCAACTTGAGGACCCCTGGGAAAAGACAAAGAAATGGTTTTTTTTACTGTTCTCAAATGCTGGAGATATAGCAAATGATAATAGGTTCATTGACTTTTTCTGAATATTCACCCATCATGCTTTATGGAGGATTCCTGGTAGAACAGTGAGTTAAGCATTAGGCTGCCAACCACAAGGTCAGAGATCAACTCCATCACCTCTCTGTTGGAGAAAGATGAGGTGGTCTGCTTCCATAAAGTTTACAGCCGTGCAAACTCAATGGGGTCAGTTCTACTTCTACTTTCCTATTGGATCTCTATGACTCAGAACAGACTCAACAGCAGTGGGGTTGTTTTTATGTGTATATTTGTTTTATGGACAAACCTATTACTCAAGAGAAGTGCTTCTTGTGGACATCATTATGTGATCAAAATAGTTTATTTTTCTATTTTCCTTAAAAATTCTTTTAACATTTAAAATTCTTTCTAAACTTTCTCTGGACCTAAGGATTCTCACTCCTATAATTTAGAACAATACACAGTTATTAGTGCTAAGTCGAAAGTGCATGTTTTACCCTGGAAGCCTTTTCTCTCTGATGAAAATCTTAGGATGTGTATAATTACTATAATTCTGTGATTAAAAACATCTCAGCTTTGGTATTCAGGCACCTTGCTGTTTTTAATGAAATCTCTCAGATGAACTCATTATATCCAAGTATTAAATTACCAGTGGAGACATGTTATCACACTATTCTGCCACTTTAAAGACTTTCACTTTAAGTGTGTTGCCATTAAGAACAAAATAAGCAAATTAAAATAGGGGGGCATTCAATACAATTTATTGTGCTATGAATATGTAAAGCAAGCAACCTTTCCAATAGACTTTTTTTTTTAAATGGAAAAAATGACATCTATTTAATAAATTGAAATCATGTTGGTAAACTGAAGCAATGCGCATTAAGGTTATGGCCAAAGAAACTAAAAACTATTGAATATTTTTTTCTTTTTCCGGTTTCATAAACTTTTTAAAAACCTAGTCTAGCTTTCAAAATTCAAGAGTGTAAATTTCAAGATTATTTGGTATTCCGTTCTTGGGATGCAAAAGGAGGGGGACAGGGGGAAACCCAGATCTTTAGGAAGAAAGAATTTTTTTAAAAATAACAAAAAGCCGGAGCTCAGCATTTGGGACATTAGTCCACTGATGCTCCGTCGACAATAAAGCCTCTTCCTCTAATTAAAAACAAAAAACAAAACAAAAAGTCATGGAAATTGCTGCTAAGGAAGTAGTGGTGATTTTGTTTTTATATAACAACAGGGCAGATACTGTATGTCAGGACAAAAGTGCACCCTTTAACAGACAAAATATTTTCTAACAATTCCAGCAATCTAAACTTTAATCAAAATAGGACTGGCTATACCGCAAAGCCCAGGAGTGTCTTCTAGAAACTTCAGATTTTTCATTCGGCAACACAGAGCATCATTCTTAAGTGTGGATGTCAGTTTACCAGCTCTGTCACATTCAGGCAAGAACACCTTGGTACGATTTAAACAAACCATAGGTGCAACTAAACCATAAATGTACCTAGCAATCAAGCTCTTTCTGCAAAGATGTTGGGAGAGTTAAAGAGTTAACATTTGGTAAAGTGTTTACAGATGGAAAGCATCGTGTAATTACCAAACACTATTACAAGTTAGAGAAGACAGTGAAAATATAGCTTTATCTGATCACAGTAGCACTGTGCTACTATTTTAAAAACTCAAAATAGGCATGCAGATTTTTAAACTAGCTCAGTCTCTTAGGGTGGTTGGGAGCAGGAAAAGAGTGAAGAGGAAGAAGGAGTCCCGATTAATAATTAATTTCAGGGCCCTTACGAGAAGAGAGATGGATATTCCTAAATTTTTATTAGAGAAAATTCTTTGTGGTCAATGGGGTTCTTGCATGCTTTAAATTTCAATTTAAACAGGCATCCATTTATATTAATTAGTTTCCCTAGTACTTTTCTGACCCTGTCTAAATCCCCAATGATGCTGCTGTGATGTACCAAGTCTGAAACACTGGGTTTATTTATTAGACTGAAGAGGACATCCAAATGCAATAGCACTGTCATCATTAATACCATCTCTGGGCAACAAAACACTATGACAAAGAAAAATACTATTAGACAGCAATTTTTTTGTGGACACCTGGTGCTAACCCTGCCTATAAACAGGGTGTTGCAAGATCTCTCAGACTAAAAAAGAGGCTCTCAGTATATATCATTGTTCCACTTTATCTATCATCATAGGTCAGACTAGGCTACTTTCCTGGGTATTCCAAAACACCTAACTGTACTCATGAGGAACTTGCATATAGACCAAGAGGCAGTTGTTCTAACAGAACAAAGGAACACTGAATAGTTTAAAATCAGGACAGGTGTTTGTCAGGCTTATATTCTTTCACCATACTTATTCAATCTGTGTGCTGAGAATTAATTCGAGAAGCTGGATTATATGAAGACGAACATTGCCTCAGAGTGGGAAGAAGACTCATTAACAACCTGTGAAATGCAGATAATACAACTTTGCTTGCTGAAAGTGAAAAGGACTTAAAATGCTTATTGAGGAAGATCAAAGACTGCAGGCTACATATGAGTTGCACCTCAGTGTAAAGAAAATGAAAATCCTCACCACTGGACCAATAGACAACATTCTTATCAACCAAGAAGAGATTGAAGTCGTCAAGGACTTCATTCTTCTTGGATCAACTATCAACACTCATGGAAGCAGCAGTCAAGAAATCAAACGCTGTATTGCATTAGGCAAATGTGCTGCACAAGATCTTTTTAAAGTGTTGAAGAGTAAAGATGTCAGCTTGAGGACTAAGGTGCACCTGACCCAACCATGGTATTTTCAATAAACTCATATGCATGTGAAAGTTGGACAGTGAATAAGAAAGACCATAGAAGAACTGATGCGTTTGAGTTATGGTTTTGGAGGACAATATTAAAAGTACCATGGACTTCCAAAAGAACAAGCATATCTGTATTGAAAGAAATACAGACAGAATACTCCTTAGAAGCCAAGATGGAGAGACCTTTTCCTCTCATACTTAGGACATATCAGGAGAGAGCAGTCCCTGGAAATGGACATAATACTTGGTAAAGTACAGGGTCAGTGAAAAACAAAAAACACTCAACGACATGAATTGGCATGGTGGTAGCAGTCACGGACTTAACAGTAATTGTGAGAATGGCACAGGACCAGACAGTGTTTCATTCTCTTTTGGATAGGGTCAGTATGAGTCAGAACTGACATGACGGCACCTAACACCAACAAACAGGTAGAAAATTGCTTAAGGAATTGACAGCCCTTCTTCACTTTCTGAACTTCTAAGGCAGGGAATCTGAATGTCACAGAGGTCATGAGGTACTTGTAACTTCTGTAAAGGGGTCCAACACTAGTTGGTTGGTTGGTTATGTGCCGTGGAGTTAGTTCCACTATACAGGGTTTCCGAGGCTGTAAATCTTTACGGGAGCAGAACGCCTCATCTTTCTCCAGTGGAACAGCTGGTAGTTTCGAACTGCTGACCCTGCGGTTCTCAGCCCGATTCGTAACCACTACACTACCAGAGCTCCTTTGGAAGTTGTCCATTAACAACTTGTGGACGCTGTCTAAAA